GTGAAAGGGTAGGAGTAGGGGGAAGTATTGGTGGTGTTTGTCCCTTAGCCCAGGCTAGGTGCATCCCAGCTATCTCTTGTCTCAACCTGTCTACTTCCTCCTTCATCATTTGCATCTCCGTCTTTTCCTCCTTAACACTTTTGTCCGAACCAGACATACTTTCCGGAATGGGCCCTTTTGATCTTGTGTGGTAATGGTAATCTGCTAGAACGTTCTAACGAGCTAACTGTTTTGAAATCTCTTTCTCTGATATAAACAACAAACTTGTTAGCGTTAGAGTTTAACACATATTGCAATTTCACATTGGGGAATGCAATGTTCCTAGGCAGTTTAACCATTTCTAATATGTCTTTGCTTCGACTGCATGCGTCATTCCGGCTTATGTATTTTTTTTATCAATCCGCTAGGCAAACGCCTAGAGCTAGTTTTATTAATAACCAGATAAAAGACAAAATACAATGTCATTATATCCTACGAACCGCAAAGAATAAAGTTTGAAATTAACAAATAGCCTATTATCAAAGTTGAGTGTTGCACTCAACATTGATATCACATTAATGCTATTAAACTTTGTAATACAATTTTGCATCCAAGAATGTGCATGTGAAAGGGTTCCAAAACACATGCTGTACTTTGTTTGCACTCATTTGACCAGATCTTATCGAGTTCCATTCATCCTCCATCATTAAAACAAATATATACCTGAGCTCCTCTAAAATCCCTAGCATGCTGGTGTTAAATCCAACCTTTTTGTTCCATCATCGAGTTTCTTTCAGCATTAGTCTTCGGCGTGCAATTCCAATTGGAACTGCCGAGCCTCCCTCTTGGAACGCACGTAAGCTCCACCTACAGCTGCATCATAAAGAAATATATCCCATAGTACCTTCATCGTAGAGTATTGCATGCTTTTATGTATCCTAGATAACTTTCCATGTGCATTCCACTTTTCCATTTGATTCCTTTGCTCAACAGCATGTGTTGTGTGCCATGCCTTCCACATTAAACCATGTGTACATATTATTTTAATGAATCCGAAAATGTATTGAAGCAACACATGCTGCATTGGCCTTCCCCGAGAGTGGATTATTTTATGAATCCGAAATACAAAGCTGCATTGGCCTTTGTTGCCATCTTTTCTCGAAAACATTTTTGCCTCCCTCTTGGAATGCACGTGAGCTCCACCTACAACTGCATCATAAATAAATATATCCCATAGTACCTTCATCCTAGAGTATTGCATGCTTTTATGTATCCTAGATAACTTTCCATGTGCATTCCACTTTTCCATTTGATTCCTTTGCTCAACAACATGTGTTGTCTGCCATGCCTTCCACATTAAACCATGTGTACACATTATTTTAATGAATACGAAAATGTATTGAAGCAACACATGCTACATTGGCCTTCCAAGAGAGTGGATTATTTTATGAATCCTTAAGAAATATACAAAGCTGCATTGGCCTTTATTGCCATCTTTTCTCGAAAACATTTTTCTGCACATGCTAGTTGTGTTTCCAATGCCATTTGCTTCTTGTTGTGGTCGAAATGAAGAGCAATCATTTTTATATTCCCAGATCCTGTCTCTAAACGAACCGTGCGTGTGCTATTAAACACTTCTGCACCATGCTGGTTGTATATCCAAGGAACTGAAAGCACGCGATCACCCCATGCTGGTTGGGTTTCTAATGCCATTAGTCTTTGTTGTTGTGCTCGATTATTGATGTGTTTTTGTTCTTTAGCATAAGTTATCTCGAAAAGTTTAAGCATGGAGTGCCATAAGCATTGTGATAACGTAGTGTCACTTGCGCTAGAGAGAAGATAGTTAGAAATACCAACCATTATATCCTCCTCCCTTAGGATTTGAATATATTGGTCGATTAAGTTGACATGCCTCCTGCTCTTCCTTTTCTCTTTTATTCTTGTCTCCTATCCACCTTCACCCTTAGACTTAGACATTTCAGCTTATCTTCATTAACCAGCCTCCTTCCCTGTGCATCTAGATGCCAGAATTGTTGGCATTCTATTTCTCCATGATCTAAAGCATAATTAGCCAAGTGATCTGCCAGCTTGTTGCCCTCCCTATGAATATGAGTAAGTGTGTAATTGCCCTCATTCATTAGTTGCATCATTTCCTTTACCTGGTCAGATATGATCCATGGTGGTTTCCAGATCCCATCCATTATCTTTTTTAATAACATTGAGTCAGTTTGAAGCCATACATGAGAGTATTGTTGAAATCTGCAGAACCTTAGTGCTTCTACTATGGCCTTCGCTTCAGCTACTATGTTTGTTGTCTCCTCAATCTCTTTCCCTACTGACTTGACTATGTCACCATTTTCATTTCTTATACAAAAACCTATTGAGCTCCTGCCTGGATTTCCCCTCGATGCACCATCCATATTAACTTTTAGCCATCCTGCACTTGGAAATTCCCACATGACTTTTGTAACCTTAAGTTTAGGAGTGAAATTTTCCATCATAGCTAATAGATCTTGCCATTTGTGAGGTACCATGTCCATCCCAGGCTTTCTCACTTTCACCAATGCCTGGAGATTTGATGAAACTTGATAAATCACCCTGCTAGTTGTCACAGCATCACCATACTTCATACTATTTTTTCTTTTCCAAAGTTCCCAGACTACGTATGAGGGGAGTGCTTGCATTACTGGTTTGAGCCTTAAGCACACATTTGCAGTCCAACATTTTGTGATTGCTTGGTGCAATGTAAGTCCCTCCACAGCTATTCCTGCCCTCTATAGAAAATACTTCCAAGTTGTCTCTGCAGTTTCTGATCTAAAAAACAAGTGCCGAAGAGATTCCTCGTCAGGCTGTACACAACACCAACATTTTGATGGCATGCAGTAGCCTACCCTTTTCAAGAAATCATCTAAAGGTAGCTTTGCTTTCCACACTTTCCACATGAAAAATGCTATTTTAAAAGGCAGTCCCTTTACCCAAATCATCCTATAAGCTGTTCTTGGTTCGTCTCTTCTTCTCGTATACTCCCATGCTGACTTAACACTGAAATATCCTCTTGTTTCCAGCATCCAACAAGGCATGTCAAGAACCTGCTGAGGTGAAGGTGGTTTGATTTTCTCCAGAATGTGTACTGCTAAGTCTTCAGGAAGCATTTCAAATAGCTTGTCCACATCCCACTCACCATCTAAGGTAACATCATGTACATTATGTACATTTTCATCAATGTCAAAGTCTTGAGGAACTAAAAAATATAGTGCCCCAAGACCTGTCAGTTTTCATACCAAAATAGTGAGGATCCCCTTTTTATTTGCCAAAGGATTTGATGTTCAATCAGATCTCTGCATTCCAACATTTTTCTCCAAATGTGAGACCCCCTTTTCCATGGAACAATTACAGAATTTAATTTTTTACAGTATTTCTGACATACGAAAGAACTCCATAGGCTTGGTTTTATTTTGAAATTCCACCACAACTTGTTGAATAATGCCTTTGCTACATCATGCAGTGACCTGAAAATTATTCCTCCTTCCTCAACTGGCATGCATAATGTATTTCATGAAGCCCAATGCCTACTAGTTCCTCCTATAGTGCTGCTCCAGAAAAACTGAGCAAGCAATTTGTGCAACCTATTTATCACATACTTTGAAGGGTTTACCGCTGATAGTAGATGCATAGGCATGCTTTGCAGTACATGGGATATGAGAACTGCCCTGTCCCTACTAATAATAAATTGCCCTGCCATGATTGCAGTTTGTCCATTACCTTAGTAATTAGGGGCTGATAGTATTCCAGCTTTCTCCTTGCATAAAATATAGGACAACCTAGATATATGATAGGTAAATAATTCCTATGAATGCCTGTGATCCTTTCCACCTTGCTGACCACTTCCATGTCTGTTAAATGATGTAGGTACACAACTGATTTGGTCTTGTTAACAAGCTGCCCAGATGCAGCTTCATATGCCTTCAGCACTTGCATAATCAGCATCAGAGATGTTTCATCTGAGGATGAGAAAATAATCATGTCATCTGCATACGCCAAATGATTGATCTTTGGACTCCACTTTGGCATCCCAAATCCACAAAAATACAGGTTAGTATGTAGTGCATTGAGACCCCTAGATAATGCTTCTGCTGCCAATATAAACAAAGTTGGAGA